ACTAACCCGCTCGTCTCCGAATTTTCTCCCACGCAGGCCCCGTTGGCGCTAAACCTGGCAAGCCTGGCCCCGGCAGCACCAGCGCACAGGGCACCTGGTGCCACTGCCACCCAAGTGCCACTCAAGTGCCCCGTACCTTGGCAGCAACCGCAGCGGCGTAGCACCGCAAAGTAGCGCTACCGTACAGTACAAATAGAGCGGCATGTACCTGTACCAGGCCCCTCTAGCGGCCGGATCAGCGCCCACAGGGCCCCTCTGCAAGTGCCCATCGCTGCACCCTCTATCCGCTAAATTACGTCGCTGCCTCCTCCCTGTTTTCCCGTCTGGTGCACTTGAACCCTACCGCTTCACATCTTTTCTTTTTTTCGGAGGGCCCTTTTGATTCCTTCTTCTGCAATGCAAGACCAAGCAATAGTCTGACATTGCAACTCTAGAATCACACCAATCGTTTATTCTCTCTCACTGACCCTCGTTTCTTCCTTCGTTTCTTTTTTGCTGGACTTGCATTAGAGAGGCGTCTTACATCCTCGTACATGCCTTGCTGAGGCGGGACCAGGAACTCATTCCAATTCCATCCACATCGCATTGTCGTCGAATTGGCACAAACAGACCCCGGCCTGTCCGCTTCACAAATTGCAACCGCCTGATTTTGTCGACGCGCCTCGTGGCATGTGTTTCGCATCTGGACCCCTTTGTGCTTTATGCGTGTCTGCCGGTTCAAAAGACTCAACCGACCATCATGCTGCTTCACGCCTCACTTGATCTAGTCATATCGATCCAGCACACCCAGACTCAGACGACTCGCAAGTAAACCAAGGGGGCTTTGCACCCTCGAGGTGAAGCAACCACCACAATGGCTCTGTGGCCTTTTCGCAACAGAGGCGACAAGCGCTCTGCGGCGGACAATGTTTCTGCCCGCAATGCAGCAAAGTCGGCTCCCGTGAGGCCCAGCCAAGATGCGCCCAGATTTAGCTTCTCGCCTGATCGTCAAGACGCAATCCACGTCGACCGACCCCAAGACTTGCCGGGAGGAAATGCGAATGCGCCCAATCCCGTCTGGCAGAACCGCGCACCAACTTTACACCACAAACGAAGCGGAAACCAACCTTCAAGGAGGAAGAGCAGCAAGCGAAAGAGGCAAGATCACAACCGGGAAGCAGAGATCAAGGCCATGAGTGCCTTTACGCCGGCGCGAGCAACCACCGACACCTTTGCCACCACTCGCAGCGCAAAACATGATAATAAGCGGGCAAAAACTCTGCCGGCCAGGCCACCCGTCAGGGCGCCTTGGGATAGCCCTACTTCTGACACTTCGCTGCCTATCCCCATCTCGGTCGATTCCCGCCTGTCCTCGGATTCCAATTATTCATCGTATCGAGTATCCGCCCTGGATTCTCTCGCACCCAGACCAACGCTGCGATATCAGGGAAGCGCTCGATTGCTTCCGTCCCGTGCCTCCGGAGCTGCGCGATCGGGCTCTCAGAAGAAGAGACTCGCCGCTCTTGACGAAGAGACGCTCAGGGCACACAAGCGCATTGATGATCTGGCCGACGATTTCGATGCTGGTGAATTACGAGAGCTCATGGAAAGGGATACTAGGAGACGAGAACGGAACAGGCAGCGTGAGCGAGATAGGACCGAGAAGAAGCTGGCACGAAAGGCCGAGAAGCAAAAGAGAGAAGAAGAAACTGCCCGGGAGAGGGGCACTCCCTCACCCGAGAATCTCGAGCGAGGCGTCATGGGCCGAGAAGTTGGTCTCGGCATCGATCCACCGTCAACCGTGGTGACATCATCCAAGCAACGGGCTTCTCCAGAGCCAATGTCTGACATCGAGGAGTATTCCAAGAAGCCTTCCAAGGACCAGGCGGAACCCCTAGGGACGTTCCACAGGGTAGACACTGCGCCTCGCGAGGCTGAGCCCGCACCGGCTCCCGAAAGATTTCCGCCGATGCCTCGCAAGTCAGATGAGCGTCTCCCAACAGTGCCACCTGCCATTATCAAGCTGGAGGGCAACATGCTACCCAAGACGTCCACTTCAGGGTCGACATTTGATTCTGACAAGGAAAAGACGTCTCTAGCAATGGACGACGATGCCACCACACGAAAAGGATCTGAGACTAGCAGCAAGACTAACCGCATATCGTTCTCGACCTTGCTTAGGTGGGGGAGAAGTCGCCGCAACTCTGGTGGTCCGTCTTCCTTCTCAAACACCTCGCGCGAGGAAATGTCCATGGCTGCACAGGCTGTAGCGGCGGCACATGCCCAAGCGCAAGCGAGAAGCCTCGATTCGCCCGTGTCCTCGCTTTCCGGCAACTATCTATCATCTAAGCCAGGTTCGGGCCCGCCGAAGCGAATGAAATCCCGCTTCCGAGAGGATCTACCAGAACTTCCGATATCACCACCTGGATCCCGTCTTCAATCACCCGAAGCAGAAGTCTCTCACCCCGGCGTTTCTGCATACAAATCTACCGCCGGCTCGGAACCGATAACTATCATCCACCCAATTTTGCGAGACGATACTCCAACTTCTGGCCATCGTTCAATTGACATTCCCTCAATTGACATTCCTCAATCACGGGCGTCAAGAGACAAGATGTACGGCAGCCACTCCGCTGAGCCCCATCTTTCCATGTCTCTAGCGTCTGTCGACTCCGAAGGGTCCTGGCTCTCAGGGAGAGTCGGTAGCCAGAGGAGCCAACGAATGTCATCCGTACGCGAGAGGATTCGATCCCGACAACAAGACCGAGACGCCAGACCAGACTCTCCCTCGAACAGCACGCATGAGGACCTCGAGATTACCGAAGACGATTACATGTCACGCCTGAGCCCCGATCCAACCGCTCTAACATTCAACTCCCGTCTATCAGGCGAGGGTCGCCCGAGCAGTGATGCAGAAGAGCTGAGGGATGAAGGCGAGGTTAGGTGGGGTGCCGTTGGCACCCAGCCGCAGCTTGTCTCTTCGCACACGCATAACCGTGATACCATTCGCAGCCGCGAAGGTCTGCTCAACATCGACTCTGGAGACGAGGAAGACATGGATGCTCCCATTTCTCCCATTTCTCCAATTACCCCGAGCATCGAGGAGAAGGTTGATCTACAGCGTGCTACAAGCGTACGGATGGATCCTGGCCATGCTCGAAACTTTAGCGCTGGAAGCGCGAAGCTGTTAGAGATACACCCTCGAGCATCTGCGGATGGCAAGAGGTTGAGCCAAGAGAGGCCGAACGGTGTGTAAGTTGATGCTCTCTTGATGCTAATGGTTTCAACAGTCGAAAGAGTTCTCCGAATCAGAAAGAAGACAAAAAAAAACGAGAAAAGGACAGAAAAACAAAAGAGGGGCATCGTTTGATGGTTTCAGTCTATATCCAGAACCACAGGGGTGCCTCGTTGATGACTTTCCTTTGTACCACATAACAACTGACCCGAGTCGCTCTTTTTCCATTTTCACTCCTTAAATGATGACCGAAAACCGAACATAAACGACATAAAAACCCCGAAAAATTATACGCAAACAAGACCACAAAAACACACACATATATATACTATTAAAATGGGGAACTCTTTCTGACTTTGGAACCATCGACATCCGATATTGCACATCAAACCACCTTTGGACCTTTTTACTTCTTGGCAGACGTCTCGTTGTACATTACAACCTTTGACGAACTATGACCGGCGTTGGGCTGCTGCTTTTTTTTTTTTTTGCCTTTTATTCCCAAGTACTTTTCTTTTACAGGCACATATACCAGATTTGATACCCACTCTGTCGAAGGGGTCTATTTTTCTCCCGACTCTTTCGCAGCTCGTCTTGTGTTTCAGGGGGAGGGCTGCATCTGTTCCGGAAGCTTTGGGTATCCGGGACCCGAAAAGTGATGAGCATTTACAAAAAACAAAATGGGACGGTTCTTTTTTTCTTTTTATGAAGGCTGATTTCTGCTTTATGACTGCTCTTTTATGGGGAGGCTGGTTGCGATATTTATACACAATCGATTCCTTGGTGGGAGTGGGAAGGGAGGAATTAAGTTTTCGGATTTTGGAACCGTTGGGATATTTTGAAAAATAAAAACAGATTGACAAACCAATTTATCTGGGAACACAAAAAATTTATAGAGGCTTCGTTCTGCGGGCAGGTTGATACTATGGATCAAATTCGTGCCGTTTTTTAATTGCTATTTTTGGTGGTCATATTGGAGGGGAGAGACTTGTATATAGGATGCCAGTTTGTTGAGCATATGGCAGTGAGGGATGAAGTACCACGGTGAAATAATATATGATTGCGCTTAAAGATTTGAGTTTCTCTATTCTTCTCTTTCACAGGTTTATTCGGGAATATTGCTTGTCAAGTTCTGGAGCTCTACCAGTTCTAGCAACGGTGTTGTTGGGCAAGCTCAATTACAGGACGTCGTTCCATTTGCTCTTTTAGGTGAGCTATCCAACTACCAACCAATGGATTCAAGCCATAGGCCATACAAGGAGCTCAATGCCGTATATACATCGTATGCATCTAAGACCAACCCGTTGGCCATGCATAATACATCAGTATATATCGGGACGATTCTGTATCGAGAATCATACTCCGTACTACCAACAAAACTTATCTGATAAAGTCCGTTGTCTTTGATTAGAACTCACTTAAATCACAATTCGCTATACCATCTAGAAACCCTACGAGAAATCTCATTGACAAACATGACGTCTACCCCAATGTTCCGTCCAGCCTCGTTCTTTAGGATGTTATAATACTGGAACACAAGACAGTAATGATGAATTTGTACTAATTCAGATTTTAGGTATGGGACTGTTGGCCTTTGGTTTATAAAAATACAAGTTCATTATTGCTAGGTCTAATGCCTTGGGATAGGCCCTCACTCCCCAACTAATTGATGTCGCGTCCTAAGATAGAGTTACGAAAGGAGGTGGGCCAGAGAATCGAAGAATACAGGGATGTCCTCTAGAGTTTGCCATGACAATGCAGTGGCGAGATCTAGCCATCCATCTTGTTACTCGATAATCTGGTGGCAACCACAGCACCTTTTCCCCATTCCAAGTTATCCATGATCTGTCAAGACTAACGCCATAGCCCTCGACGATGGAGTGGTAGTCATATGCTCTCTTAGGGCCAGTCAAAGTCTTCGCCTGGGCGATGAGTTTGTCCAGAGATATTCGACCGAGTTGCAAGAGAACATGTGTATCCGGAGACTCCATGTCGAAAGATGGATCGAATAATCGGCAACAGATTCGTAATCTAGTTTTTTCTCCTCCTCTTGTCAGAACCCACGTCCCGTGACGGGCCTGCTCCGTAAAAAGCACAGTGTTTCCATCATTGGATATGACAATTGACTCCTTTCCATCTGGCAGCAGATGACATGTTTCACAAAAGACAATGCCGCCGTATAATCTAATATCAACGTTTATCGCCCACAGTTTCTCGTTAGTCTCCACATTCCATATAGTAAAATTGTAGGTCGTGGATTCAGTGGTGGAGTAAATCTGCTTTGTAGAGGCGAGATACTCCACGCAAACAAGATACTTTGCATTTTTAGAAAGAGCCAGAAGATGCATGTTTTCAAGCCCCTTCTCAAATGTCATAGAATGAGAAATCTCTTCAGCCTTGTTGAGATTCCATAACAACATCTCATCTCCCGCTTCTGATTCTGACGCAAAAAAGGTTTCCCCAAAGGAAAACGCTATTCCGTTCGCCCGACCTCTGGCTAGAGAGGTGGGAAAAGTGTGTATCAATCTGTCAGAGGCAATGTCCCGCTTCTGCAAGCCGTCAACTTCAGAATATGTGTAAATAGACTTGCAATCTTGTGAAAATTGTAGACTAGCAATCTTGCTAGCATCTATTTCTTCGAACGCCTGCATGATATTGCCAGTTGTCGTATCCCAGACTGCGACATATCTATAAGCAGTAGCCAGGAGTCTAAAGTCTGGTGAAAATACAGTCAAGTCTGTCGTACGTCCAGTCTGATATGAGGAAGGTTTATCATCGTCGTTGAAGTCCCAATAAGTATGTTTACTTAAATCATATAATTCAATGTCGTCGGAGAATGCCACGGCCAAAGTTTGTCCGTCATCGGACCACGTAACCCCCGTTATGGCCTTGGGACCAACACGAAGTTCATGTTGTTTCATGCCAGTGGCTATCTCCCAAGTGAGAATGTTGTGATGGGGGAAACCGTTGCCATCCTTGCCGTAACGAGTCTCAGCAATGAGCCTTGAGTCTTTAGAAAACTCGACAATTTCGACTTCCCATGAACTCTCTGTGCTGACGTCCAGTATCTTTTCTTCAGTATGCAGATCCCAAATTTCAAACCCTTCCCCAACAGGAAAAGCTATCAACTTAGAATCGCCTGAGAAACTGGGCATTCCTCGCATGTTGCCATCATGATTGGCAAGTCCCAATTTCTCCTTGCCTGAAGGCACTTCCCATATGCATGTAGTGTATCCCGTTGTAACGGCCAAAATATTGGAATCATTGGACCACTTCAATACGTTCATGGATTGACCCACAACTGTAAATGGGAGCTGCAGCTTCGTCCCATCACTCATATGGTATATTTGAACTCTGCAGTCCTCATCCAGCGCGTAAGCCTTACACGACGCCATGAACTTCCCGTTGTTGGAAATTGAACAAGCCCATTCTTCATCAAACCCACGAATCCTGGCATTCTGTATCAAGACACCAGAAGTCGCATCCCAGCAATAATATCGATCCCGTGCAACTGTCAACACTCGATTTAAATCGCTCGAAAATACTGCTTGTTGTACATCTTCTGCGTGGTTGAGTGCGTGAGTTTGCCTCCCTGTAGCCATATTCCAAATTTGGACATTCTTGGAAGAGGCACGCAGAACTAAGAGATTCGTACCGCTAGAGCACATTACTTCCGGCTGTATGTTGGCAATTATCTGTAGGCAAGGGCTCCAGTAACTCTCTTTTACTGAATTGCGTACATGTTTTATCCAAGACAGTTTGGTAATGAACCGGGTAACCAGTAAACTTTGAGTAGGGCTGAACAGAAGCGGGGATGAATATATCTGCATCGGGGCGAGCTCCATAATCTGGGTATTGTATTGCATGAATCGGCTCGCATCATATACAAATTTTTGAAGCTCCTCTGCTGCGGAGCGTTTCTGCTGTAGTTAGTTGTTTATACATCGTAATGAGATAAAGAATTCGCGGCTTACTTTCAACAATTCGTTGAGTCTTTGGACATGAGTAATGTTGGTAGATAAATTTCGCGTTAAAGCCAACACCTCAAGCCAGTGAAGAGAGTGCTCCTTCAAAAATATCAAGACTTCTTCCTCAATTATCAGGAGAGCTTGGCCGTCTGTAACATCATATATTTCGCACAAATGAGCAATCCAATGGGTGCAAGAATAGAGACAATGGTCTAGAGGATTAGGGTCTGGCGGGCTGATATCCTCGAGAAGAATTCCAGGATGCTCTAGCCCATAAATATTCTCCCGCAGCGAATGATCCATAGAGTTCAATGAATTCAAAACCATGTTATACTTAACCTTCCCCATGCCGTGCCGGAAAGTGACGGATTGCGAGGAAAGGTCGCTGGCCAGATATTCTTTTGCAGATTGGTGAACAAAGTAAATGTGGTTTTCTCGGACCGTTAAAAACGAACCACAATCCTTTATTAGCATGTTCAACTGCGGCAGTCTCTTCAGATTGCTCTGGAATCCTGCAAGGGTTGAGAGCTCATTGAGATGTAGAGGCCGGTATGCCGATGTTGCGATAGCCAGTATGGTTCGGCATAACTCTGGACCTTTCCCTTTCAAATGAGAGATTCTCGCTAGCATGACAGTGTAGAGCTTAGTTAGGTCTTCAGGCATCTCATTTAGGATTGCCATTGCATCTGATTTATCGTCGTAATAAGAACTGCTTTGAGAATTCAACCTTTCAAAGACAATTGCAACCCAGAGAAATGTGCCGTTGGCCTTCTCTCGCATTTGACGACATACTTCCTCTTTCAAATCATCATCATCCTTCAGGAGGGATACTTGTGATGCCTTGTAGGAGATGTATGCATCCACAGCACTTGCAACAAGGGTAGCATTTACCTCGAGGCTGAGATTCATTCCTTCAATTAGCCTTTTCTCAATTTCAGGCCAGTTGCGGCTTGATACTGCCCACTTGGCATTCGATGAGGTCGCCACGTTCCGAATAAGATGTAAGAGTTCCGTCCGACCTGTGATACACTCATCAAGGGCATCGATAATGATGTACACTGGTGGCAGTTCCTCGTCCCTCAGCATATTGCTGAAAATTTCGGACAATGTGTACCAAGCGTTTCCCTCATCAAAAAGGCTTTTCCCAGCGGTATCGTATGATTTCCTGATGTACGATATCAACGAGGGTTGCTGGTCTGCCAAAAGCCATATGAGACCGCGTAGAACTGCAATGTGATTATTGACGCTCGGTATGGTGGCCTGACAGAAGAAGAATGTGACTAGACTCGGGTTTGCCTGCTGCATCAATTCTTGGGCGAGACCGCATAGAAGCATGGTTTTCCCTTTACCGGGATCACCTCTTAGCCATAGCAGGCGGTTGTCATCGTTGTTGCGCCAAGTCTGAAATTGCGGGTTTTCAAGAATCCAGCGGTATGATTCTTGTAATAAACCTCCTTTTGTGTTTTCAATTCGGGTTCTATCGGCACGAGGATCCGTTATCCGTAAATCTCTAAGGCACTGTTGATCTTCTTGAGTCCTTTGATAGGCTTCTTGTGCCTTTGTGTGATGAGCTATGGCTTTGAGATGAGATTCCGATTCATGGCTCAAGAAAGTGCTGATTTTGTTGCGAAGAGAAGCGTCGTCGGTTTGAATGGACTTTAGGCTACCATCCCAATTGTCCAGCTCGACGAGGTCTCGTAAAAAAACGAACCCACGGTGCTGGTAATAGTTACAAATGCTTTTCATCTGAAATTGCAGAAGCTTTTTGTAAAAACCGATAAATGCTATTTGCAACTCATTTTGTACTCCTGTAAAGGCATGGCTGCTTGGGCTGTTATTGAAAAGCAATGATGCTTGTTCCCAGTACCACTTTATCGTGATTCCAATATACTCAATGCCCGTTTGATTAGCTTCGGTTTGTGATATAGGGTTGGCCAGGATCTGTTTGAGAATTAGTTCATCAATATGTATGGTCGGTCAACGTAAAATGGCATATCCTTACCGACAGGGAAACATGGACTAAAACCCAGGGAAGAGCGGCTTGCGGCATGTCTTTAATCGCGTCGCTCACCAACTTTTTGGTAGTGTTGACTACCTGCATAACCGTGCCTATGCTGTTCTTGATATTGGCTTCTCGAAATGTTTTGTTCAGGCCATTATCAATTAACCGGTGCATCTGCGCTCTCCTCACCAGCACGTCTTCATTCTCGATGGTATTAACGACATTTGCAGTGTTTGCAGGTTCTAGAGACACAGCATTCTGGCTCAGGTTTACAGACAATATCTTCTCGTATGCTTGCACCAACTTCGGTTGATCGGCTTTCAGTGCATCATAAGCGCTGTTCCAGATCCTCTCGGAGGGCGTGATGGGAGCTTTCGCTACTTCGGACTCTACGGTCGATGGCTTTCCGTTGCTATTTGAAGCGGACGAGGTATCAGCTTTGCCGCTGGAAGTGCTCGCGGCAGAGGCTTTTCCGGAGGATTTGCCCTTGCCGCCCAAAATTCTTCGTAATTTGCGCATGGATGTGGTATTTATGTAATAATTCTTGCCGAGAATGATGCTAATTTAACAGGATTCAAAATCACAAACAGGAAGACGCGAGAAGATGCACACAAGGCAGCCGTACGTGAGGAGGGCGGAGCGGTTTTAAGCGCCAGGCTCAGCCAATAACCCCCTGCATCTTGTATGCCTCAAATAGAGCAGTCTGGTGGAACAGATTACACGCATGTTTGGTCCCATATGTGAATTGGCAAGGTTGTTGACAGGGGTCTGAACGGAATTCGAAATACTACCCAAGTGGGGGACAAGACTGTTCTTTCAGTATCTGCTATTATATTTATATTTCTCTAGTACCTGCCACTATGTTTATATTTCTCTAGTACCTGTCGCTATGTTTATATTTTTATATTACCTGCAATTGTATTCAGTTTCTCTTGTAACTGCTATTATACTTACATCTCCTTTAGTAAATATAATTATAACGATATTGTAAGAAATAAGTAGTAGCCGAATATTGAGGATTCCTTTACCGAGTATAAAAGCACTACTTAATAAACTGGTATTAATAAATACATGCACTTATTTATTTTGCGGTCTCGCTTTTTCTGACCTCCCCTTGCTACCATCATGTACATGTACTTAGTACATCTGGAAAACTTGCCTACAACTCGTTATTCATGTAATAAAAACAGTACTGCAGTTTGAAGTCTGGGCAAGATATTCATCAGCTCATCGCCTTCGATGTTTTTGCAGCCGTCGATGGTGTAAAAGAGTATTTAATAGAGTAAAGAACGCAATATGAGTTGTCACAAATGGTATTTCCAAAAGCTCGACCATCAAGCGAATGAGAGGATCGCTATAGCACTAGAAACTCTTCCTACCGCAAATTCCAGCGATTAAACAAATCAATCACTGACACCATATACAAATCCATGGATATCATAAGACGGAATGCAGTTTTGCCAAAGACAGTTCGTTCGGCGTAATGCTCGTGCTTTAGTCATGAACTTTTAAGCCGGCACTGGCCTCGGCACTGTATCGATAATCGGAGCACGAGCACGCGGGCTTACCTCATATTTTTCCCCAGAATATTTACTCATCCACATCGCCACTACCAACAAAACTCATCTTATAAAGCACCTCTCATCCGCATTCACTCAATCGCGATTCATTGTACCACCCGGCAATCTCACGAGAAATCCAATCGACAAACATGCTATCATCACGAACGTTCCGCCCGGCCTCGTCCATCGCCCGACAAGGCGTCGCATCGCAGCGTCTCTTCCACGCCAGCCGCCCTACCCTAGCCGTACACCACGTCAAAACGTGAGCTGCATCTCTTCATGTAATCCTCGTCAAAGGAACCTGCAGATTTTCTAATCAAAGACTCAAGTGCTGAGGAGTTCAAAAAAGTCGTCAAGGAGCAGGACAGAGTCATCGTAGATTGCTTCGCAACATGGTGCGGCCCATGCAAAGCCATTGCTCCCATCCTAGAAAAGTGCACCACACCAATCTCCAAGAACCCGTTCACCAACTCTCAGCATCGCGACTAACAGACGATCTCATTGGATAGGGCCTCTGAGGAAGCAGAGTTCAAGGACAAGGTCCACTTCGTCAAGTTCGACGTGGACGAGCTGCCCGAGTTGAGCCAGGAACTGGGAATCCGCGCCATGCCGACGTTCCTGTTCTACAAGAACGGCAACAAGGTCGATGAGATGATTGGAGCAAACCCGCCTGTTTTGCTGCAGACTCTGAGGAAGCACAATGTATAGAAAAGATGATAGATGGGAAAGTCTTAGTGACGGCTTGCGAGTGTAAGATATGGTATATATCATGTTAGATCTCAAAGACAATCAGATGTTACGGCAGCACAGACTTAACATGACTGAGAATTATGTACTTATACAAACTTACCTCTATCATCCGTCTAAATGCATTCAGTCCTAAGCCGGTTTGTTCTGCCTACACGGGTTATATCGCAATTTAGACTACATTCTCGAGTGTAATGTGTGTACCTAGATGCGAGAATGTATTCAGCTCAAATAAATTTTCAAAGTATGTCTCTCTATCATTGACATAAATTTATCTCCTACGCAATTTTGATATACCCTTTCACGCGCCCAATTTTGTGGTTCCCAAACGCCTCGCTTCAATCAACCTAGATACTCCGCAATATAGCTGCTTTCCTCAACAATTTTCATAGCCATGCACCCGTAAATCCAAAAATAAAATATCCCATCAAACAGAGTCCGTTCTGGGCTGCTCATGATTGAGAGTCTCTTGGGAATCAACAACCACACCCAGCATCGGCTCTACCCGAACACCTCCCATTGACGATTCCCCATCCCACTCGTTTTCTGAAGACGCATTGCTCATCTTTCGCATAGCCTTCTCATCAACTGTAAAATCACCACCGGCCTTGTCCAGGTCCATGAAGAAGCAGATGATCAGGGCCACCCCTGCGAGTCCAACCCCGATCCAGAAGACGCCCTTGTACTGGTGCTTGACATCCATCCCATTCAACACAAACTGTGCCTTGGCGACGTCGGCAATGGCCAGGAAGAATGCGCCTCCGAGGAACAGCATAAGACTGATGAGTGCGCCTGCAAGCCCCTGGCGGTTCTTTGGCAGGCTAGTGGTCAGAAAGACGTTGCTTACAGTCCAAAGAACGTCGACACAGGCGGCTTCGCAAAGCATTGCTGGGAAAATCCATGCCCAATAACTTGGGTCATCAGGCATAATGGCAAACATGAGCACAGCAATAATTTTTGAGATGCCGGAAAGAACAATGAGTAGCTTGCCAGGAAGAAGGTGGAGGATGATGCCGCTTGTAGTAGCCAAAACCAGACCACCACCAGCCCAGGGCGCAAAATACGCCGCGGTCAGTAGGGGTGATTTTTCCAGAATTGTTTCGATACTATATTCCCGGTTAGCCAAAGTCATTATAGAACAATCACCCGCTGAAGACTTACTAAAAGTTTGCATAAAAGAGATATATGCTAAAGACACCCCAGGTAATGAAGAGACACAAGAGCATTCTCTTCATGCACTTGACACGGAAAATATCCGCCGGGATAAGAGGAGCTTCAGCGACCCAGCCTTCAACATATACAGCTGCACCGAGGAAAATGAGACCGAGAATAAGTGTCACCAGAATTCGAGGCGATGCCCATCCGTTGGGAGCGTTGGCGCTATCGGTCAACGCATAAATGAGGAGCATCAAGCCAGGCACAGTTGTAAAAACACCCCACCAGTCCATTTTGACGTTCATCTTGCGTGCCTCTTCATAGTCACGGGGAGCCGTTAGAATTGTCCCCAAGGCAAAGACGGCAGATACAATGCCACCCAGCCAAAAGAACCATCTCCAGGATAGCAAATCTTGAGCCATACCACCAACAATGATGCCGCTGAAGAATCCCAGAGGTGCAAGAGCACCATAGAGACTGAACACAATATTCTTCCTCGGGCCTGGTCTATAAATCCGGCCAAGCAGGGAAATACCGGCAGGAAGAAACGCTGCAGCCCCAAGACCGAGCATGGCACGGCAGATGACGAGCATGATGAAGTTTCGAGTAAAGCCAGCAATGACAGACCATAGTACGGTCCACACCAGGCCTCCATTGAATAGCAGATACCCTCCATACATGTCTGCTAGCCTCCCCAGAGGAAAGAGGAATGCGCCTGCGGTCAGGGTTAAGACGCTTGAGGGCCATGTTTGAGCTTGCAGAGGGATGTCGAGTGGCTCGATCAAATTAGGTAAAACGACCTGAAAACCGCTAATGACGAAATCCTAATAAGAAACTAGTTAGTTTCTTGTTCTTGGAAACTGCGGCTAGGACGGATAGGCATGTGCAAGCACTCCGCGTCTTAAGGAATGTAACTGTCTTGCTTGCTTGCATATGTCAAGGAGAGAGACCCACCGCCATAGAAAGGGAGCCCAGGATAGAGATGATGAAGGCAACCTCCATCAGAGTGGAAGAAAAAACTTCAGGCCGCTGTCTGCCTAGCTTCTCAACGTCGATATCCTCAACGTCGATGGCCTGAACAGACTCCCTGCCCATTTCTGTGACAAGGACGGCAGCATCTTGGACTTGTGTCTTGCCGTCTTTTTCCAACATTGCGGCTAGGCAAATGAGTAGATGGAACGAAAAGAGAATGAACTCTTCACGAGAGATGCAGTCCAGACGATGTTCAAGGCCTTTGGGGTAGAAAGCATCAAACCAGATAGTCGTGATATCAGCCTCTCTGAGTTTGAACCAAGTGCCACCATGAACTCTTTTATATAATTTTCGTGTTTCCTAAAGACACGGGCCGCCGACAAAGAGAATCCTCACGCCCCGATTCATTCTCTGCTAGATCATACGCCATTGCTATGCGCCATCGTCATCTGCCGGCAATGATCATGGTGTGAACAGTCTCACAGTGAGCATTCCGTTGTCGGTCCTCGTACTTTTTTTGCCGTTTCATGAGCCTTGAAATCCTCGGACCTCCGTGGCGCCCTCCAGCCACACGGCAGCAAAACGCAAAACTTGTCTGAAGGTTTCCCATCTAGGGAAGTTCATTACAATAGTAGCTTGAGAGATCTGACAAGGGGTCCACACTAGTTCACCCGGAATGAGAGCCGACTGTGAGGTTGATAGTGGCCACCGTGGGAACTACCACCCACGTTTTCTCAGCAGCTCTGATAATAGAGTCAGGACATGGATTTGATGTGTCATGGACCTCGTTCCAGAATCTATTTCAAATTTGCGTGTGGTGGAGATGATAAGAGTTAGCCTACTGCAATCCCGGTAGTAGCAGCCCAACTGGGTCTGCCGTTAGCTTGTGAAGACATCGTGACTATTTCGCAGGGGTGGTTTTTTTTTTTTTGCTCCATGGATGGAGTACGGGACTCGACCACCGGCTTTAAGCCGACTTGACTATGTCCACCTTCAATCTCCAGAAAATAAGATTGAAAGAGAAAAAGCAGAAGAAAGGTTCTTCTTCGTCATTCTTCTCTCACCTCTGCTCGGCTCACCGAAGATCGTTCCCTTACTTGACATGTCGTCTCCAGGTGAAGGAGAGAGTTTGCAGGGTATGTGTTCGCATAGGAGATTGGCTGGTTAGACTTTGTGCATACGAGCGGCGCTCTATGCAACCACTCTTATTCCCGGAGTCAAAATGCCAAACAATGGATGATGGGACCGGGAGAGCGTGCGAAAAAGGCCCTAAACCCCAATTGTGACAAATGTTCTCCCATCGGAATCCCTCAATCCCAGCCCGCATCCGAGATTCAGGTACTCGCACTGCGCCATGGGTAAAGGGATTTCCGTATTAGGCGTCTGTGTGACCTCTGGATGGACAAGATCCGGCAGACCAGGTGAACAAGCTTCGGGACCTAGGACAAGGGTGGCTTCCAATGCTTACCGGTTCTGCAGGTCCCGCCTAGCGGTCGCCGTGCATCGGACGCAAAGAATGTCAAGAGCTTTCCCATTTAGGCGCGCTTGCGACGCAACGAGAAAGCTTGTCTGTTTCTGAGCGTCTAGACTGCGTTTGGGGTGGTGGCGTGGGCTGTGAACCAGCTGCGCGTTGGTAGGGGGGAGGGGGTTGGGTATTGGGGATTATGCTGCTAGATTATTGATAATCGATGGTGGGCCGCATGGCTTTGCCCGCTGGATAGCGACTGGCTGGTCGGCGTGCCACATCACGTCTGGTCGTTTTCAAGACCGGTTCTCCATGAGAGAGCTTTCCAGGCATCATCTCTGGTAGTTTTGACGCTATCCCTCGACGCACGTGCGTTCTGATCTTACCACCGAAAGGGGGAAGGGAAAAAACTTAGCAAAGGGTCCGAGATTCTCGCCATGCTCATACTCCCAGAGGAGTGAAAGAGGCCCGCTCAGCGATCGACTCTCTGCTGCCGCTGTCGTATGCCGGCCTGGTTGCGCGTCACTAGAGCGTTGCTAAACTGACAAGACGCGAGAGACTGAGGCCGGCCATCCGCTGTGCACCAGAATCCCCTGGGGAAACACGCACAGTTTCCGTCACCGGACCGCACAAAGCTCGGCGTATATGCCAAGCAACAGCAAGCCGTGTCACAACTGCCGCCGTCGACGACTGCGCTGCGATCGCTCGTGGCCAACGTGCCACAAATGTGCGGTCTCAGGGCAGGAGTGCCTTGGATACGGCAAAGTCTTCATCTGGACTCAGGCGATTGACGCTCAGGGGAATCTGAAGCCATCACCAAGCCGCAGGACGCCCCTTGGTGGTCCTCTCAGCTCTGGCTCTGCATCAACCTTCCCTTCAGCCGCAAACAGCTACTTCCCACCCTTTTCGGATCCAGTCTCTGGCCGCCGCCCTGATTCTGTGCCCGAAAATCAAGCACATGATGCATTGGTCAGGGAGCGCAGGCCAACCCCGGGCGGTGTCCGGCAGGCGTCTGGTCGTCGCCCCTCGCCGCCACTAAAAGGCAAGAGAGGCGATTCGACGATGTCGGCTGCACCGGAACCAACGAAGGATGTAGCTTCAAGCCCAAACCAGGAGGCAGCGCCGGGGCGTGGAAAGTGGAGGCCACCAGCACTTGGCAGCTTGACAGATCCTCTTTTCCAAGACCTTGATCGCAACTCAAGATACTACCTAGCACATTGTAAGAGACAACCAAGTTCTGAAACAACCAGGCTAGCTGGATGATTGTGCGGGGATTGTACTAACACATTTGAAAGTTGCCGATCGCGTCTGCAAAGACTTGGTGGCTCGGGATGGGCCAGGAGCCAACCCTTTCAGAGATCTTATACCGTTGACTAACAGACACCCTCTGCTGCTTCAGGTTCTTGTTGCTACTTCAGCAATACACTGGTCCAACATATTTCGTCCCATTACTGCGATCCCAACAGGACTGACGGATCCCGGAGGTTATCTCGCCCAGTTACGATCAAAAGACCTGGTTTCCAGGCAGGCTCTCATCGATGCCTTGACTGCGAAGCAAAAGGCCATGGGCCACTTGCAAGAAGTGCTTGACACCCTGGATCCTGGGGGAAGCGAAGTCGTCCTTGCTGCCATGCATTTCTTCATCAAATTTGATCTGATAGACTTGGAAAAGAGTGACGGAAAGGGATGGAGAGCTCACTTGGAAGGTGCCAGTAGTATCCTTGCTTTGCTCGCTCCAGGAGGCAATGGAAGCGAACCAAACAGGATGCTGCGTGACTGTGTGGTGGCTGATTGTTTTATGTGAGTAACGACCACTTTTTGTCTCGCCTTGGGGCTCACCAAATAAAGAGATTGCGTCTTGGGTTTCTGCGTAATGAGGTATACAAAACTGACACCGCTTTGCTTCACTAACCCACAGATATCATATCTTAGGGTCAACGCTTGCGTCGGGCAGCCTCGCCACCAACATAGCACGATATGCATTCGAACTCCTGCCGGTCATGAAGCGTGTCGAAGTCAACAGCTATCTCTCGTGCCCGCCGGAGATCCTTCACATCATCCTGGTAGCCTCCAAGCTCTCGTACGAGTCACCTTGCACCGACTGGTCTCTGTCTGCCGCGGACGAGGCACTTGCCCTGATCGACGAGGCTCTTGCCTTTGATATACCGGCGTGGGCAGATAAACTGCGGCAGAACCCTCGAGTGCAAGACATTGAGAGCCGCATCCACACTGCCTCGGCTCATCGGTCTGCCGCATGCCTATACATTCTGCAGGCACTGCCTCTCGTGCGGGCCGTCCGCCCTGTAGACAGCGAGTTCCTGGTGGGCGACATCCTCGGACACTTGGGCCAGATTAGCGTGGACGATCCGTATTACAAGGCTACATCGTGGCCTACCTTTATCGCCGGGGCCGAAACTCGCGATGCAGAAAAGCGCACCTGGGCGATGAAGCGTCTTCTGGGCATCTGGGAGACGTGCCCTTGGGGCTATCTGTTCACGGCGATAGAGCTGCTGAAGGCCGCTTGGGAGCTGCAAGATGCGAATCCAGGCTCTGATGAAGCCGGCGTCAACTGGCTGCAAGGCTTGAAGAGCATGGGAATCGATGCACTGATTGTGTAGACGGGAGCTTTTCCGCTCGAACTTGCATCTTGCTACGGCACGTGTAGTCCCATGCCCATTACCTAAGGCGGCTGCTTCCCACCCAGTAAAGCTACCTGATGTTGGCACCTGCCATTTATTCCAGCAGCCACCGCTCTCTCATATGTGTATCATCTGTCCAATGTTCTCATGTGTTTTTTCCTTATCTTTATCTTTTCTTGATTAGTAGCGGAGTTTCTTGGAGCGAGTTTGAATCTTGGAAATGTTCGGCTTTGATACGCCGTAAAATAGCAGTAACGTATTTACATAGGTACTATAGGAGTAATACAATCACTAGAGTCTCTGGAATACGACGAGATTCGAATATATCGCCCAGTGCCCAAATAACACGTACCTATGGATGGACAGCTGAGTACCTGTAATCTGGTGAAAGAAATCCTAGCATACTACATAGTAGAATTCTACGTCAGTTTTCTGCCGGAATACACATCCCCAGGTCTCACATCTAACACAGAACCACCTACAACGACTCAGCCAAACCACGTCCACGTTCCAATGCTTCCAAGCTATACTGTTACTATCAAGCTGAACCCCCAAAAGACATTAAACCCATTGGTTAGGCGCAGGGTTCGGCCGATGGCGCAGCACAAGCGGGAGCTACTGCACCTCGTCCCCTCCCGCCAGCGCTAACACGCCCTCGAATACGCCCCTAACCACCCTAAAGCCAGCTGCAGATGCAACTAAACGCCCACCCCCAGGGCTTCCAGGCTTCCAATCGCGTCCAAGAGTTGAATGCAATGGAACTCTGCGCGATCAGCGACTCAGCTTGCTCACATGTGAAGAAAATTTCAAGGGTGTCATGCATTTCAACCAGAAACATCCACCTTTTTCCCTTTATAGGTCTCCCTCGACATATGGATCCTTTGCTGCTGCGAACTGATCGAGGCACGAGGTCTCGTGCTCCAGGTTTCATGGATATTTAATTGCCTACATGCTAAGTGTCGGTGTGACATGTTAAGCATCTCTTGCATCGCATCACAAATTGCGTGCAGCTGCTTGACGCCGTGCTTCCCCAGCCAGCTTCCCGCCTCTTCTGTTGAGCAGCTTCAGGGTCCGATATCGTTAGCCAAAGAAGTGAAAATAAGTTAAACTACTGCTGGTTTCCTGCATGCACTTGGGCACCTGCAAGATTTGGAAATAGCAGCACGCCGATAGTCACCTACCGATAGATGGTAGCATTAGGCAGCTACACGTATGCACTATGCTCATGTGAATATCGCATCGGATGTTGGAATGGATTTATGTCTCCGGATTGCATTAGCTTCTTCTATTTACTACCTATACCCTATATCTAAGTCACGATAATGTGTGGTCAGCCAAAGAGTACACTCGAGCCCATCCCATGTCCAGAAGCAGGCCGCCCGTCCTTACCGGATGGAAGTTTTGAATCCAAAACCGTGATACCTACTGTGATGGCAGTTACGCAGCTTATAGTCTCCGCCCGTAGCTAGAAAAGTGAGCAATGTCGGTGGATACAGAACAAGAACGGGAGAAGGAAATGGATAGTCTTTCTTTGGTGCCTGATGAGAGCAATGGAACGGAATAAGGCTAGCAGGGCTTTGGGATATGAGAGCTAGTGTATCTGATACGACACGGTTCAAAATATGTCATTCTAGCCGTATCCCTGCAATGAGTCTGACACTCTCTCATCTTCAAAAATAGCCACAAGAAGCTGGATTGGACAAAGAATGACAGTCTCACCATGAATGACGAAGAGCACAGGTCAAGAATACCATCAAGAGAAGGAAATATGGTGAGCCATAAACATTGTTCAGACAAGTGCTGTACTTCTCGTAGGGTTCAAGGGGATAAGCTGGGTCTATGGCTAAGCATCCAAGACCCGTTGAGTCTGGGCCAAGCAAATATCGGGAAAAATCATTTCAAAACTATTCACGCATACCTCGTGAATTCTAACAAAACGCCAGCCATGCATAAGGGCCCTTCGTAGTCGTGAGACTAAAAGAAATGACTGCCAGTGATATACCTGTCGCAGTAACTTTGACGCAAATTCCACATTGCCATGCGGACCTGAAATAACAAAGAGAATAAAGAACCGTATCATCTCGAGAAATGCAAAAAAAAAAAAAAAAAAAAAAAAAAAAAATAGGAAATAGAAGAGAGAAGAAAGAGAAGAAGAAGAAAAATCAAGGTGCACAAGCACGCCAAATAGCCTCTATGACAGCAGCGTTGAAAGGAGGCAACTTCTGGAAAGGGGGCGTGAGGCTCAGAAGGCTGTAACGGAGCCCGAATATAAGCAGCGAATCGAAGTTTGAGGGAAAGGAAAATAGCAGCAAGGAGAATCACCAGCGGCGACTAGACGCATGTTAGTCACTCAATTTCATCCAACAAAGAAATTCAGTCTTCTTACCTGTATGCAGAATCCGCATTTCGTTGGCGGCGGCGTTGCATCTTAGGCAGAGTCACACGATCCTGCCGTTGGTGGACACCAATGTCGTCGGGAGACCTCTGCTTAGCAGGTCGCCCCAAAAGCTCGGCTTCCAGTGAGTTCAAGTCGGATGATCGGCTAGAGACCGACGAATTCCTAGATTTTGGGCCCTGATGGCGCTCCTTTGACCGTGACCGAGATTCAGGTTCTAGTGGGGGGAGAACAGGTTCATCCTCTTCTTCCACAGTTGGCGCATCGTTGTCTTGGGCTGCTGATCCGGTATCGTATTGCGCTTGTGCCTGGTTGTCATCTTCAGCGTCGTTGAACTCATATGCAAGCGATGCTGCAGCTTTTGACTTCTTCGGTTGACGTTCGTCCTCTGAATCATCATCTCTGCGCTTATGCTTTCCATTAAGATGAGGCGTGTCAAGAGCCATACTGCTGGGGGTTGAGGCTTCGTCTTTTCCATGATGATGAGTGTTTTGAGAAAGTCGCTCATCATCCCGGGTTGATTCTACCTCGTCATTGGATAAGACCGCTCGAGGAGGTTCAGTTTCATCATTGTCCGAAGACTCTCCAGACTACGAAGATACGTTATTTAGCGATCTAATCTGACAGGAATGCAACATATTTAGAGCGATTAATAGGGGGGGGAAAAGGTATACATACCTCGGAATCTGCAGTTTCAGAATCCTCGTCAAGCTCACCTGAAACTGACTGAGGGAGCAGGCCATCCTCGTGTTGATACGACTGCGCATTGTCTGACACTGGTATCTCGGTCGCAGCCGAGTTTTCATGGAAGGTCTCCTTTGAGGTTTCAGATTCGAGTTTGGCGTTCTTTTCAAGGTCCTCTATTGATGATCGCGGGCCAGTGTTGACTTTTTCCGCGGTCTTCAATGCCGATGCTTTCTGGGAGGGTCTAATAGCTGAGCTAGAGCGATTAGAACGGTTATTACGGTTATTACGGTTGGCCTTGTTTTGCATCTTCTGTTGCGAAGAGCGATGACGGGAGCCTTGATCCCGGCGTCTATTATCACGGTTTCTGTTTTGACGATCATGTTTCCGTCTGTTCCTATGATCTCGGTGTGGCTCTTGCTGCGTATGGACGCTTCTGGGGGGCTTTGGCGGAAGAGAATGATGAACGGGAGCTGGCTGGTTCGAACCAGAGTGAGAACGAGAAACATGAGGCGGCTTAGGCGGGGTAGGAAAGTGTGCAGGCCCGCTCTGAGCAGTGTAAGGAACTGGGGGCAGTCCGTATGGCGGCTGCGGATAAGATTGACTGTAAGTCGTCTGGGGCGGGTACCCAGGTGTGCTAGATGGCCCAGCAGGCGGATATGAAGCATACGCCGCAGGATATGGTGCTGGCGGCTGTGGTGCTGGGGGCCCTGGAGGATGAGCTGCGTAACCCGCTGGGGCTGCAGGAGCTGCACCATAAGGTGGCTGATGATACTGCTGCGATGGGTAGGTTGGACCGTAGCCAGCTGGGTAGTGCGCGGCAGGCTGGTAATGAGCATAAGGACCCTGGAACTGAGGATTCTGCTGAGGATATGGAGGTCCAGGCGGCAATGGCGGGTAAGGAGCTGTGCCATGGCTCAGAGAGGAGGGATGATGCGGCGGTGGAGGAGGGGGAGGAGGTGGTGGTGGTGCATATTTGGTGATGATGGGCCCCTTATTCATCCTTTTTGGATTTCCTCCATGATGCTGCCGATGATTACCATGGCCAGCATTTGGGGCGTTTGGAGCGTTCCTCCAAGCGTTGGCAAGGCCACTACAGAGTCGAATACGAGTTAGAAATACACCATGAGACACAAAAAAATGGGCGACGTCAGGGCTGGGCAAGCGAGGTTGAGCAGGAGGAAGGGCAGAGGCTTACGCAGGAGTCTGTCTTGTCGGCTCTGGACAAGCAACAATCCAGTGGCCTTTGGCGCCGCAGTTGTAGCACGGCGAGTCGTCAGAGGGGCCCGCGTGAAAATGCGCAGATTCAGCCATCTCTATGACGATGAAGAACGGCAAGTTTCAAGACAGAAATGGATCGTGCTGTGAGGAAGAGAGTTGACGACGGCGCCGATGATGGTTGAGGGAGTTGATGGTTGGTGACTGGGCGATGGGTTGAAACAAGGAAATGGGCGTTCTCACTTTTCCCCGTCAAGTGCCCTCGAAAAAAGAAAAGAGAGAAAGGAAAGTCCCCGTCACCTTGAGCATCAACCACATCAGAATCGTCACATCACACAAGGCACAAGTGAGGCATACCTTGCTTGGATAAGACGGCCTAGAAGCGATAACCCCCTTTACAAACTGAACCCCCTCCCCAGGCCGTTTCGAGATGGATGAAGCAATGTCTCATCCACCAGATGCGCAGTCCGGGGATCCTGGAGAAAACAAAGCAAGACAGAGAGAATGCAGAAACGACGAGCCCTGGTCAGAGAAGCTGAGCCAGCGGTTTGGTTGACTGGCAAACGGATGAGTGCAAGTCGCGTTGAATCAGCCGCCACGTGAGGCTGCGCACAGGCCACCAGAGCTTGCAACTGTCTCAGCTGGGCAGCCCCGAGGTTTAACCGTGGTGATATCGGGAGAGATGGAAATGGACAGAGAGAAAAGAGCGTCGGTTCGATCAGAGTCCGATATTGGAGTCTCACGGGAGCTTGCGAGAAGAGCAGCAGATTGGCGGATGCAGAGGTTTATATCGAAGGTGTTGATGGTTGACGAAGGAGGAAGAAGAGTAAACATTGGAAACGCTGCCGAGTCGAGTTGAAACCTTTGGGCGCTGAGTGACTTCTGTGGCGGTGAACCTACAAAAGTGGCTGAAAACTATAGTGCAGATGCCCTGGCAACTGGTAGATTCATGCGGCTGAGAGGGGACTCAGCTTCGAAGCAAGGGCTTGGCTGTTGCGTTAGTTCGTCAATTGTATTCGATGGCATGGATTTGCTTTGGCTGAGATCAGGTACTGACCTCTACCTTCTAGTACCTGCGCACCTAGGTACATGTAGTAGACAGCTGATAAGTCTAATAGCGGTCAAAACACTTGAATCTCGTCGCTAGGGTATCGGCTAGGAGCCTGTGGCTTTTGTTTCTGCGTTACTCGAGGTCCATCGACTCGCATCTCACAAATCGACAGTGCGACGAAATAGGCAGCCGGGCGGCGATGAATCGTCTTAGATTAGGCGAGAGACATATGCTTGGCGGGGAAATGCTGGTGAGAAATCAATATATAGAGTAAGTACTCCGTACAGAGTAAACTGCTGCTGAGCGGTAATATTACCATCACCCCTTACATTGCACTTAGCAGGTGTGATGCGTTGTCTCAAGTATGATGCCGGGTCTGGTCTCTTCCATGAGATACCTATTTCACTTAGAGCGGCTGCCCGCTAATACCTACCCCGGGAGGTACCTCGCCCTTGCGAGAGATCTCCTAGCAGCATCAAGTATCTCCCGATTTGCGGAACCTGCAGCCGCTGCACGGATTAGCGCGCTAGCGGCGGAAGAAGCGCCAGTGCGCTGTCCTGTAGTGGTCTCTGGTAGTGCACATGTGCAGTACAGTAGCAGTCCACCCTCCTGGATCCAGGTGTACAGCGCACCTGAGGTACACGTCTGGTACCCGGCGCGCTGGATGGATCACAGCGTCGATAATTTCTCAGCAGAAAAGCTAATTGCAGCTAGCGGATCCCCAGAAACCTTGCATGCTGCGAACCAAGCTTCTTGCTTGTGGCCACATTCACATCGCCATCGCCGTCGAGTTGCTTCATCTGCCGGTCTGGAGCGCCGTTCCAGGTTCAGGCTGTTGCAAGTGAGGAAAAGGCGTCGGGCCCCTCGACCATGTTGGTGCATCCAGCCACGGCCCCTCCAAACACCATCGCCTGCAGACTCTTACCTGGATGATTCCGTCAAGGGTGCAGCCCGTGTAACCGCCCGCTTCGTCATAAAATATCCCAGCCGAGAGCGCCATCTACCTATGCTTGGTGAGGGAACGCCATGCCGTCGTTACCATGTGAGTCCCTGCTGCCTCCTGTCGCATGCGCAGTCTCTCCTCTCTGTGGTCACAGCAGCAAGCCTAACAATACCCATGGCATCCAGCCTCCGTCGATCTAGACGAGTGCATCTCGCGCCTCTACAAAAAGGAACTCCTGGCCGAGTCCGTCATCGAGGCAGTATGTGCCAAGACAAAGGAGCTCCTCATGCGCGAGAGCAACGTCGTCCACGTCAAGGCCCCAATCACTGTTGTCGGCGACATCCACGGCCAGTTCTACGACCTCATCGAGATATTCAGAATCGGCGGCTACTGCCCTGACACCAACTACCTGTTCCTAGGTCCGTCTCCTCCAGATGTATACGCCTCTGTATGGGCATACGTCAGTGCATGTGCATGTTCATGCGCATACGCATCCTGTTGCGTGCCCCCTCGCTCGTGGAATTTGTGGCGTTGACAGTCTTGAAATACCTGCAGGCGACTACGTTGATCGTGGCATGTTCAGCGTCGAGACGATATCACTACTCGTGTGCTTGAAACTCCGATACCCCGAACGCGTGCACCTGATCCGCGGTAACCACGAGTCGCGTGGCGTTACGCAGTCGTACGGATTCTACACTGAGTGCTCGCGCAAATATGGCAACGCCAACGTGTGGCATTACTTCACAGACATGTTCGATTTCCTGACCCTAAGTGTCGTCATCGATAACCAGATTTTCTGCGTCCATGGAGGTAGGTCCCTGGTTCGGAGCTGACTACCCCACCATGACGAGAAATTCAAATGCTCAACGTTATTGCGACAGGTCTCTCGCCCTCCATTCACTCCATCGACCAAATCAAAATCATAGATCGCTTCAGAGAAATTCCTCACGAGGGGCCCATGGCCGATCTGGTGTGGTCCGATCCAGATCCCGACCGAGACGAATTCTCGCTTTCACCCCGCGGTGCGGGCTATACCTTTGGCGCGCAGGTCGTCAAGAAGTTCTTGGCCGTCAACAACATGTCACACATTCTTCGGGCCCACCAGCTCTGTCAGGAGGGCTTTCAAGTGCTGTACGACGACCGCCTTAGCACCGTATGGAGCGCGCCGAATTATTGCTACAGATGCGGCAACATGGCCAGCGTACTCGAAGTCAATACGCAGGGCGAGAGATTCTTCAACGTGTTTGCTGCGGCACCGGAGAATGACCAGCACAAGGATATGCAGCAGGGGATGGAGAAGACGGCGGACGGAAACTCGCTGCCCGATTACTTCTTATAACGGACCAAGAAAGACGTGCCAGAGTTGGATCATATTGACATCGTCATTAACATGTATTAATCAATGTACAGTGCGATCAGTCATACGGAGCTTTGTCATGCTATAGAATTGCGGGTTATGCTAAAACATAAAGGCAACTATTACAACATCCGCCCGTCTCATGTCGAGATGCTGTTCATTTTTGCTTGCTCAAAATGTACGCTATCCAATGTTTGTGTGCTGTGCTGTCCAATGTTTGTGAGGTGTGCATTAGGAAACCGCGGCTTCGCATTCTGCACGTGGACGGTGATGTGTTTTTAATAATCAGATATCTTATCTCGTGAGATGGGGGAGGCGGGAGGGGCATGATTAAACGAATGAACAAAAAAGGGAGTCCGCTTCCAACGCTTGTTTACTCATCCTTTGGCCAATCCTTGACAATTTCGAACTTCCACTCGAACTCGAGGTGCTTCTTCTTGTCATCATCGACAAAGCTGGAGATGGCGTCGTACTTGCCACGGGCGAGCATTCCAGAGGGAGCCTCTTCCTCATGGACTGTGGAGATTGTAAGCCAAAATGCTCATCTTCAGATTTCACGTGACGGCGGAGGACTTACATCTCTTGACGTAGGTGGGCTGGTTCTCGGTGTTGGGAGCGTAGCTTCCCTATATCGGTTATTAGCGCTTTGACCTTGCAACGACCCAATCTGATGGCCGGTGCATATAGTATTGTACTAACAATCATTTCTGAGTCCTTGGACACCTTAAGTCCCTTTCTCTTGATGACCTGAACATAGTGCAGACCACTCAGAATCTCGTGCTGGACCTTGAACTCGGCGCTCATGGTGAATTTGACTCCCTCTTTGATCTGGAAGGGTTTCTCCTTAAGTCTCCCCTCACTTCCAGCTTCAGCGAGTTTGATTTCAACGGGAGGGCGACCGGGCGAGTCCATGGTAAGCGCCTTGATAATGCAGACTCGAGGGTCGGAGGGATCGGAGAGGTCCTTGCCACCGCCGAGGCCAAGGGACTGCTTGTATCGTTGGAGGGACTCATCGCCGGCATCTGGGGTACAACAAATCAGTTAAGTGACGACGGGACGACAGCTGCAGTAGCGGGACAGCACGTGAAAGAAAGGAATGCGGACGGGCCAGAGGGCAAGCAAAGATTCTAGATGGAAGCTTTGGAACGGGCTCTCGTCCAAACACCCAACAACAGCTTGTTGGTCGGAGAGGAGGCCCGAGCTTATCAAGTATATCCGTGTTGACGGATCTGTTTCAGTCGGTTTACACGACCAACAAATAAAACGCAACCAATCCAAAGCTCTACTCGCACACATCTTCGTCCGTGCTGCCCTCGGGAAAGCTTTAACCAACAGCTACATACCCATCTGGTTGTACTCGGCCAAGCTCTGCTTAGGCTGGGAGAGCTTGTAGCCCTGAGTCTCCTCGGGCATGGTATCATCATCGTGAGAAGCCATTATTACGTCGGGGGGGTCGAAAAACCGGCGGAAAAGAGAGCAGACAAAGGGAACAAGGCCCGGATGATGCTATTCACAGCTGCTGATGGATCGAAAGGAGAGATTTCCAAAACATAGCCAGCCAAGTCGGTCAAGTGGTCAGAAGGCGGGATAGCAGAGCCATGGAGGGGCAGCGGGTTGCTGGGGGGGGTCGGGGCTATGGCGGTTGATGATTGGATCAGCGCCATGGTGCTGGTAATCCCAGTTCCGGTCAGGGGTCGGGCGTCGATTGCTGAGTGTGCAAAGGGGTAAAATAGAACGGAGGGCACTAGATACCAATACGGAGCAGCATCGGATGGAACCCTGTAGACTCTGGACGGGATGGATTCTGCTGGGTTGTCAAGTGATTTATTGCCAAGCACTAGCGCGGTACACCAAGGGCACGCTATTGCGCCGGTGAAATTAGGGGTACCGCAGTAACGGCCCATGTTAGAAGCAGACTTTTTTTTTTGTTGTTTTGTTGTTTTGTTGTTTTTTACGGTACTCCGTATTTATCGGTAGCCATTGAGGTGATGTGGCGGCAAGCTGGAGCTATTGCTGAGCGCTAGGGCCCGGCTGTCAGAGGTTAAAGCCTCCGTCCATTGAGAGTTGAGGGTTGAGTGCAGGGTACTGTCTTAGTAGGTAGTTGGGTATTCTGGTACTTTGCAGACTTGCAGTTGAGGAAACATTGGTACACCTGACCTTGGGACTAAAGGTGCACGTACTCTAGTACTGCACTCCGTGCTATGCCGGCAGAATGCTACACTGCAGTTGAGCCGCCAATTGACCGCATACAGTACAGCAAGTTCCCATTACTAGCAGTCAAACAGGGATCAATTGAATTCGGCAGCTGGCTGGGACCCTTTTAGCGGCAACGGCTGCGTCTGTTGGGCGCTCCAAGTCGACGCTACCGTGTTCTCAAAGAGGGGACCACTGCACCAAAGACCCCTACAGGGCCCTACATGTACTCCTTCGGGGGGGAACTGAGGAACTGAGGGATGGAACCCCCCAAAAAGCAAAGTACCCGGCTAGCAAAAAAGTGGTACCATGTACATGTGCCTCCGCAAAGACCAGGCCACATCAGGCGCTCCCAGCAATTTGCGCGACTGAACATCGCCCACCATCGCGAGTGAATCTTTCTCTTCACCCTTTTTCATTTGCTAGCCCGCCGAAAGCAACAGCACAATCTCGCCCCCAGGCCTCGTCTGCTGCGTTTCTCGTCAAGGCCCGTCGCCCAGGCGCTTCCCGGTCGAGACCGCATCATCTTGTCCGCCTTTTTTTCTCCGCGGTGCATTGGCCTTGTTTAAGCCCGACGCGCCGCCCATCGCCAGAAATCCGCTGTTTTTTCTTTTGCAAGCGAAGGCTCGTTCGTGCGCGAAACCACAAAGGACTCGCCGCCTCTTGCTGTCCCAGGCCGTCCGTTTTCCGCGCGCCTAATTGTCTTGCGCCGCCTCTGGTCGCCTGTAAGGAGTTGCTTTTCGGCCTCGACTGGCTCCATCGACACGCTTTGCGCCGCGACACACAAGGCTTATCTGTTTCCTTGCACGCCCCAAAGAGGAAATCCAACAATGGCCCCCGCTGCAGGAAGATCGCTGCCGGCCAAGCGGAATCCGCTGCTCATCGACGATGTGCCTCCGTGTAAGTAGATTGTTGCTTCATCATCATTGATTCTTTTTTCAAGCGATGTGATGACCTTTTGCGCTCTACACTGTCGCCAATGCGCCCCGAATCACCCACTGACGCGGAATGCTGCAGACTCGGAACTCGTGTCGCGCCGCCGTCTCGGCCAGACCAAGCTGACGCCCAAGATGGTGGGCAGCGATGAGGCCGAGGCCGGTGCCTTGGGCTTCTTCGACTACGCACATCTGCGCGCGCCCCTGCCCAAGGGCATCGTGTCGGGCATTTTCAAGTCCAGCCCCAACAGCTACTTTTTGATGCGCCGCAGCTTTGACGGCTACATCTCGGCCACGGGCATGTTCAAGGCCACCTTTCCCTACGCGGCTGCCGCGGAGGAGGAGGCAGAGCGTAAGTTCATCAAGGCTCAGCCCACCACGAGCCCCGAAGAGACGGCTGGCAACATCTGGATCCCCCCGGAAGCCGCCCTGGCCCTCGCCGAAGAGTACAACATTGGCATCTGGATCCAGGCCCTGCTGGATTCCGCAAAGATCTCCACCACCCAGCCGGCTGATGCCTCGCCCAAGACCATCACTGCGCCGCCCAAGTTCGATCGTCTCAAGGCGCCCACCCAGCTGAGCCCGGCCGCTACTCCGACCACCCGAAGCGGTCGCGGCCGTCGTTCGGCCAGCCCAACCAAGACCAGTGCCACCAGACGCACAACTGCGTCTCCTCGTCGAAAGCGCAACACCAGATCCAAGGCCTCTGTCGAGACCACACCGGCCCCGAGCGAGATCGCGGAAGAGACGGGGGAGGCCGCCTTGAAGTCAACCGAGTTTGAGCCCGCCATTGCCAAGGCCGAGGCTGGCAGCAAGACAGATGCCCAAGCCCTGCCGTTCACGGCGGGCCAGCCCCCGAGCTCTGAGCAGATTGCGGAGATGATGGCTACCGCCAAGGCCATGGTTGAGAAGGACAAGGAAGAGGCCGAGAAGGCAGAAGAGGAAGCCGCTGAAGAGGAGGAAGCCGCTCAGAACAAGCCTACCCCAAAGAGCACCCCAAAGAACAAGCGGAAGGCCACCGACACCGGCGAAGAGGACGACGAGGCTGCCGAAGGAGACAAGACCGAAGAGGCGCCGCGTCCAAAGAAGATCAAGACCGAAGTCGAGGTGCGCAAGGGCAGGATACAGAAGAGGGCATTGTTTGGCATTGGCGCAACAGTTGCAGTTGGGTACGTTGTCTTTTTTTTTCCCCTCCTCTCTTCTCCCCATGCCCTACTTTGCAGTTGCATGTACTGACCGTTTTCGCAGAGCACTTGTGCCGTGGCTCGCAAACTTCCTATAAATGATACAAAGAGGCCCTGCAGCCGTGTGTGTGTCGTGTGTTATGTTGCGTAAAATCTGACCTTGAAGGGAAAGTAACTGATCTTTTATGGCGGCTGAATGAGGACTGGGATGGCGCGGTTTTTGCTTTTATTATCCTTTCCCCTTTGTCTTTCTGTCATTTTTAATCTGTGATTATCTTTTCTTTTTACAACTCAGGGAGGCGACGTTAACCCTCCCACAACCGAAACATATTTCTCGCCCTTATTTTTTTCTTCTTCCCTCTTCTCTCTTTTTTTTGCGTGTGCGAGATTTTCCCCTCTTTCATTGGACATAGCACATTATTTTTTTAACAGTTCCTGCTGCAAACTCGATGGGTTTACCAGAGTCATTATGCGATGTGGCTGGTTACGCGATGGGTTTTTGTGGCGGGGATGATAATCTTTTTTCAAGAAGGAGGAAGAAGAAGAAGGGAAAAGAACGAAAGAAACATTGATGGTCTTTTTTGGCCATGTTCTATGTCAGAGCTGAGTATGACGACGAGTGTTGGATGATTTTGGCTTTCTTTTTTGTCAAGAGTCTCGTCCATGAAGTGCTGTGGTTCACATGTATGGTGGAAGGGGGGGATAACCTGGAGTTTATGGAGGGAGGGGAGGGAGACGGACAATCTGAGCTGATGGGCAGTGTAATACAGAATTAAAACGAAATGAAAATCTCACATCAGGTATGGGTGGTGTGCGTGTGTGACGACGAGTTTTGTGTTACTCTGGCTGCTATGAGATGTGGTCTGCGGTGCGCTGATACGAAGTCTAGGAGGTAATGGCTACGTCGTTTATTTACGATGACTGTGAGAATCTTGGTAGCTGCCTGTCTATTGCTACAGCATTTGGTCGGTATATTGGGGGAAGAATATCTTTCTGTAAGTTCCATAACAATTACCAATCTCATCCCTGACATACCTAGTATATTGAATGAATTCGCAACATCCCATGATCTCCAACTTGGCCTATTTATAGGCGTTGACGCTTATCGGAATTGTAATTTGCACGGCAAGGTCAATAAACAAATACATATATTATTCCCTATATATCTATTCATTAAAGTGCCATGTTAGTATTAACTTCTGTCCGCCTCATCACTTCTGAGTTCATCTTATTACGCCTCTTATAACTGTCCTCCGGTGTCGCCTCACTACTTACCGTCGACATCCGAGTAAGCGGCCGCACCACGCACGCAGCCCAGTACCACCCTGGTAGCCCAAATTTCCCCCAGAAATGGCTGGCACCGGCAATGTGCGGCTTTCGCGGGGGATCGATCCACCCCCACACGTCCTAGGTCGGATCTCCTCGGCCATTAAGCTTTACCTTTTACCCTGCATTGCATCTCGGCCATAGCAGCCTCTCTCTCTCTGTCTCTCTCATTCTTTTTTCTTCTCTGTTTCGTTTTCTGTGTAGGTATCGGCTGGAGATTGATTTGCTTCCAATTGCCCAATATGAGAGTCGCGGCCACACGTCTGGGAAGCTTGGTGCAGAGGAGGGGGTTTGCGAGTACATCCAGGAGGCTTGACAATTACGCTTTCATTGGTCTCGGTCAGATGGTGAGATTCATGCCTCTCGGCTTTTTTTTTTTTTTTTTTAGAACCATTTCATGTGAGACGAATATATCTGACAATGGATTTGATAGGGCTATCAAATGGCCAAGAACCTCCAGTCCAAGCTGAAGCCTACAGACAAGGTCTCCATCTTCGACGTCAACCCTACGGCTGTGGAGGGTCTTTCGGCAGAGATGAAGGCTGCGTCGTCGGGGGCTGCTGTTGAGATTGCGGCGAGCGCGCATGATGCATCTAAGACGGCTGTAAGTTTTGCTAATGACTGCTGATGATTTCCATTGTTGTGTGTTCTGTCGTTGATGCTGTCCCGGCTATGATCGGGATTGAGCTGAGGTTGGAAGGGTGGACAGCTCCCTGAATCCTTGGCTATTGCGATTGATATCCTACACCCCGTGAAGCAGCTTATTGTTTGCTATTATCTACCCGATGTTTCATCCTTTCATTCATTCATGTATAAATCTGGGCGGGTGAACATCCACTAACATGGTTGACATATAGGACACCGTCGTCACTTGCCTGCCAGAGCCACACCATGTCCGAGGCGTCTACGAGTCCATCCTCACAGAGTCACTCCCAAAGAAGGATCGCATCTTCATCGACTGCTCAACAATCGACCCGACAACATCACGGCAAGTCGCCCAATCCGTATCAGAAGCCGGACAAGGCACCTTTGTCGACGCGCCCATGTCAGGTGGCGTTGTCGGCGCCACAGCAGGCACGCTGACGTTTATGCTGGGCGCCGATGCCAGCATCCTCCCTCGAGTCGAGCCCACGCTGTTCCTAATGGGCCGCAAGGTGTTGCACTGTGGCGACCAGGGCGCCGGCCTGTCTGCAAAGCTGGCAAACAACTACCTCCTAGCCCTCAACAACATCGCGACAGCCGAGGCTATGAACCTGGGCATCCGATGTGGTCTGGACCCCAAGACGCTTGCCGACGTGCTGAATGTGAGCACGGGAAGATGCTGGCCCAGCGAGGTCAACAACCCCGTAAAGGGCGTCATCGAGACGGCACCTGCTGGCCGTGACTACCGCGGAGGATTTGGCATATCGCTCATGAGAAAGGATCTTCGACTGGCTCTGGTTGCTGCTGAGTCGGCACAGGCCAAGACGGAGCTGGGAACATTGGCGTTTGACATGTATGACAAGGCGGCGCAGCGTGAAGACTGCAAGGACCGCGACTTTTCGGTCGTGTATAGATATCTTGGAGGGAAGGAGGAGTAGAAGAACAATAAAAAAGAAATAGATTAATTTTTGTTCAAGAGGGCTGACAATCTCGATAACCCTGCTGTTCATGTTGGCCAGACCGGTATGGAGTCCATGAGATACGCCCAGATGACAGATCAAGTAGTTTCACAGCGCTGTCGATAAGGATATTTGTCATTTATGAATCCACATGGGATTCATTTCATTCATCTTTTCGGTCGGATAGATGGCCCGGTCGGAGATGTCAGCTGTAGGGCTGCGTGAGAGGCAATTGCACATCTCACCAGCATGTGATGTGCAGATGCAATTCGCTGTATGAAGGGAGTCTTGCTCCATTTTTGATATTCACCAAAAAGTGGTTGCAAGCGTAATATTGACGCCATAGACAGTGATCAAATGCCCAACTTGAAACCCCCTACATACTCGTACAGTATCAACGTGGACGCCCAACAGCAAACAAAACAGCAAACCGACCCATTATTAAGCCGTCCGGACATTGCGCCTCTCACATCGGTTCGGATTCCAAAGGATCACCTCGCCCCCAGCCTCAAATACGCGTATAAGTCAAGTCTCGTCTCGGAACCTGGCTGAGCCGCTCGCTGGCTTAGTAACGCCTCAAGCTGCCATAGGTGGACTCTTGAATTACGCCGAACCCGAACTCCTGCGGGCTTTGAAGTGTGCTCCCCCCAGCGCTAACGCGGCTTTACGACCTCGATTCGTTACGAAACACGCGTATTTTCTTTTTGCGTTTGCTTTTCTCTTGGCCTTTTTTTTTTGCGGGCTGTGGATTCGCTGGGACGGCACGGGTGGCGTCTTTGTTCGCCTCGGCGGGTGGCTGCTTTATGTGAGAGCGCGGACTGGGAGGGATTCGATTTGTCTGTTTTAACGGGAGGGGGGTTTTGGGCATCGAGCCGGATTCGAGACAAGATGCTGACAGGAACGTGAAAGTCACACGGGCGGGCGTTTGGGGAGTCATCCTTTTGAGGCGATTAGCTTCGTGTCTCGCGGGATTACGCTGTGATACGGGAGTATTGCGGGCTCGGAGTTGGGAGGGATGAGCCGCCCAATCTGATCGCTATCTACGGAGTATCTCAGCGCTGTACGGGAGTACGTGTACAAGATACGATACGATACGGTACTGCAGCTCAGGCCAGGGGGGTGAAAGAAAGAACCAGCAAACCACACAGCGATGTTTTATCTGAATAAGGTTGTCCAGCCGCCTTCTCGGAATGAGGCAACGCTGCCATGTGGGCAGCCAGTGAAACGAACATCGATACGATACAAAGAGGGCCCGCAAAGCAGGGGGGGTGGAAATAAGCCAACGGGCGAATTGCACGGCGTTGCTCGACACCTGTTTCTGCCTTTGGATTTTCCCGTGTTTTCTAGCGCCAGACAAGAGAGAGAGAGAGAGAGGCTGACGGATTGCAGAACAAGGGGGGACGAAGGATGGGATTGCCAAGGATTGATTGGCCTTGGTGGGAATGGGGTTCGCTGGGTTGGGATTTCGGGTTTTGCTCAAACTCCATGTTTCGATGCGAGTTTTGCATAATCCGTAAATATTGGTTTGAGCCCAGTTCCCACCCCAGCCCATCCTTTTCTTTTCCCTTTCAACCTTGCTGTTGGAGGATCATCGTTGCCCGGCTGGTTGTTTTATCAATCTCTCGGCTTTTTTTTTTTTTTTTTGTCAAACATCGTCAGATCCTCTACGGTTCAGAAGACCAAAACCGCCCAAAGGAACCGACGCTTCCGGATTCCGAAACCCGACGACATTCATCCCAATCATAGGGGGAAAAGACAGAAGGAGGGCCAAAAAAAACAGTGTTACTAATCAAGACTCCATCTCGAAACGAGGCTTGATAGAGTGAAAGAGGCGGCACAATCGAAATTCGCACACAATGGCGCGAGAGTGTCTGGAGATTTCGCCCAGTTGCCCCGTCGAGGCCACGGTGCTGGGCTACTATCCCAACCTTGGATCCGGCATCTTTTTCGCCATCGTTTTCGGCATCTTGACGGTGGCTTCTGTTGGTTTGGGAGTATGGAAGAAGACATATACGTATGCCATCGGCCTCTCCATCGGTCTATTGTTGGAAATGCTTGGTATGTATCATCGAAAACATGTCACCCCCTTTTGTAGCTCTTCATTCACATCTTATACATCCCTTTCTCTCAAAAAATGTTTATATGAAAATAACATCTCACTTACACACACATTCTCACGCAGGCTACATTGGTCGCATCCAGCTTCACTCTAACCCCTGGAACAACGGCGCCTTCGAGCTCCAGATCTGCGCCATCATCCTCGCCCCCACCTTCATCTGCGTCTCCATCTACCTCACCCTCAAGCACATCGCCATCAACCTCAACCCGACCGTCTCCCGCATCACCCCGCGCTGGTACCCCATCATCTTCCTCCCCGCCGACCTGAGCTGCCTCATCGTCCAGGCCATCGGAGGCGGCATCGCCGCCGCCGGAGGCAAGACCAACCGCAAGCTCCAGCAGAGCGGCAACCGCGCCATCATCGCCGGCGTTGCGCTGCAGGTTGTTGTGCTCATCATCTTTGGCTTCCTCAGCACCGACTACTACGTCCGCGTGAGGAAGTACATGGCTCGTCCTGAGGCTCAGGGCACGGATGGCTGGAAGCTCTGGCACGACGCCAACTTTAAGAAGTTTCGCTATGCCATGTCTGGTGCTTTCGTCGTCATCCTGATCCGATGCATCTACCGGTATGTCACCCCCTTGTTGTTAGTTCACCTATAAACTAGGTAGAAAACTAACAAAACTACTCTACAGTATCGCTGAAATGGCCGGCGGCTGGGGCAACAAAATCATGCAAGACCAGCCCAGCTTCCTCGTCCTCGACAGCTCCCTCATCCTCGTCGCAACCTTTCTCCTCACCTTTTACCACCCGGGCATCTACTTCCCCCAGATGCGCCGCGACGTCCAAAAGGCTGCCCGGCCCGCCGAGGAGATTAAGCTGGAGCAGCCCGGCTCATCCAGCGAGGGCATCAAGGTCGATGCCTCAGTTTCAGAAAGATGAAAAAAAAAAAAAATACACCACGCAGACAGACAGACCACTGAACCTACCCATCCATCTATATAAGCAAACTATGACTTACCCCTACTACAACGAAAGAGAAATACTCAGGCTGGTGCAACGGTAGCATAGCTGGCGAGACCCGGGAATGCCTATTACGCAAAAGTCTCCATGTAACAAGCGGACCCGAGCTCGACAAGTGGTAGAAGATCCAGGTTATACTCCTGGGCCTGGGATTGATTTTCCACCCCCTTTTTGCTCTGAGCTGGTTTTCCAACCTCGCTGGTGGCTTGGGGAGGTATTTTTGTCCATCTCTCTTCTCTTACGACGGTATGTTGGGAGATGGAGGAGGCTCGATCATTTGTCTGGCTAGAGTGGTGAGGAAGGTCTTTAAAATTGCTTGTAGCATCTTGGTTTAGATTTGGCGTTCTCATCTTTCCCTTTTTCACTTTTGATTTCATAAAGACAACAACAGAGGAAGGATTCCCTCCATTCAAGCAAGTCTCAACGCGGGATGTCTGTCAATCGTCGTGTTACCTAAAAACATATATATTATATAGATTCCCCCCGCCTTTGGTAGAAGCATTCTTTCTCTCTCTTTTCTTTTACTTGAATGGAACACGGATACAAACGCTAGCAATATGGAGTTCTAATATTCATATATGTGCATGAATTCATCATGACTTGACTAGTCTATCTGTCTCCCCGTCATCATCACTATCTTCTTCCTCTTCTTCCTCATCCTCATCATCTTCCTCAGACTCCTCTTCCTCGCTTTCTTCCTCTTCACTCTCCTCTTCTTCTTCCTCCTCCTCCTCCTCTTCCTCTTCCTCAGCAAGCCAGTCATCCAACGTCTTCGTCCTGAGACTCTCACCAGCACCGTTCGACTTGCCGACTGGTGCCGATCTAACAATCTCGTCAAGTTTATCAGCCGCCGACACCGTAGATCTCTCGCTGTCATAGCGTGCTGCCGTAGCATCCTTTTCTGTTTCGCGTAACCGTGGATCAGGCTCCTTGCCATACTCGACCCAGTCAGGCAACGTCTCGTATCCCCTGAGGCCGTGCAGACCGCCACCTCCAGCCAAGACAAGAGTCGAAGAGCCCAGCAGGAACCCCTTTCTCGACTCGGATGGACTTGGCGCTTGGGGAGCGGGCTTCGGCGCGAGCAGCATCAGCGTAGCAAGCTGTGGTACAGAAAGCACGGCACGATACATGCGGGCTCGGTCTCGCAGATCAAACGAGACATCATATCTTACAAGGAGCAGGACATAGTCCCATAATCTTTCGATGGGGTGCTTCTCTACCTCCATGGGAGGGTCTTCCTCTCCCACTCTGTTCTTTTCTGCTTCACTTTGGCGATTCAGATGGTGAAGATAAACTTTGGCGCCAAGAAGCAATATCTGGCGCTTTGCAGCCTCCGATTCGCTCGCAAAGTCCTTGAGGAGAATGCGAAACACATCTGGCGCAATGTTGTCTTCCCCGTTAAGGCCAGAAAACTCGCCCACCAACCAGATAATGGTCGCTCTCGCCTGAGGATCGGTTGCTGAGTCAAGGTTCTTTGCTAGACGCACTACCGTCCCCGCATGTGCCTCTGCATCTTGCTGGATGAGGTGCCGAATGACTGTCAGCGACTCTGCAGCCAAGGTTCCATCCAAGCTGGTAATCTGGCTCAGGAGCAGCTTCAGACATCTGGGGGCTGTGGCTGCATCCGCCTGTGCGCAACGCCCAATAGCTCGGACTGCTTCGCGTACAAGAGCCTTGTTGGATCCTTGTGAAAAGTGCTCCAGCTCCTTCAGGATGAGACTCTTGACATGAACGGGGCTGTGTGGGAAGATGAGTGCCAGCACCTCAAGCTTCAGCTCCCATATCGGTGCGCTATCTGTCGATCTGACCAAAAAGTGGCTTGCATACTTGACAAAGTCAAGCGGGCGCACAAGACAAACAGAAACAATGTTGTATAAAGCGATTTGCTGTATGTCCTGAGCCCCTCTCAGGAGGGCGACCAATGGACCTATGGCGTGCTTTACGTATTCTGGAGTGCCGACGTCTATGTAGCACCTGGTGACGGCAACAACAACGCCCGAATTCCGACTCTGCAGAAGAGGTCTGATGCCATTCAGCAGCAGGGTCAAATCAGGGTCTACCGACGTTGAGTAGGTGGCGGGCTTGGAGGAGCTTGCCTCCCCATAAAAATCATCAATGTTGTTGTTCTGGGTCTGCGTTTGGGAGATTTCGGGTGTAGCAGCCGGCTCAGCCCGTCGAGGGAAGCATTTTCGTGCATAGTACGTCATGAGCTTGAGCGTGGCCAGCTGGCTCCATTCATCCATGTCCACAATCTTCTTGACCAAGCCACGGTAATGCTTGTGTATCATATCGATCCGTTCGGGGCAAATCTCCAAGAAGGCTGACACGGCAGCACCGGCAACGTAATACTGCTTATCACCCAGCAGCGTTGCCAGATATTCCAGAAGCTGAGGAGACTGGCTCGGGTCCAACCTGTAGCATTTCGGGATCGAAAGAGCAGCGGCTTTGCGCACCAGAGGGCTCATGTCGGCCACGCCTTTCTTGATGGCAAGCGACACAATCTGGCTGATGACTGGCACGCGGATGCCAGACATGGTTTTCAGAGCGAGGGCTCGGACCTGAGGGTTCGTATCGGAGAGCGACTTTTGGATCGTGTTGATGGAAAGCAGGGCGAGGTCGGGTTCCTGCTCGGCATGGTGGATGAGGTAGATGTAGACGAGCTTCTTGATTTCGAAGTTGGGCGAGGCGACGTTTTTGACGACGGATGAAAAGAAGGGCAAGGTCTTGTGGTTACGGTACATCATCTAGAGAAGCAGTAGCTTGTTAGAACCAACCTAGACGGGCGCACGACAAACGACAAAGACGCAACGCACCGCTATGACACGCCGCAGTCCCTCCAGCACCTCCCTCTCGTTGCGGCTGTCGAGCAGCTTTCGCATCTGGTTCCGATCCAGCAGCTTGGAGCTCGTGCGGACGCCGCGCGTGGCCTGGGCGGCGTCGAGGGTGAGTTCCCTCGCTGAGAATCGAACAGAGCTGGTCAGCCTCACCAAGTTCAAATCATGCGGACGCGGGGCTTTGGCGGGTGCTCACCGGCCTCCAAGAGGCCAGAGATTCTTGATATTGACTCCATTGTCTCCGGCCGAGGTTGAGCGAGGCGAAATGGCCCTTGGCAGCGGTAGTTGAGGCCGTAGTGAGGCTCGTGGCTGGTCGCGTGGGGAGTTGGGAGAGGAAGATTGAGGATTTGGTACGCAGACAGAGAGATGACGTGCGGCTTTGGTGGTGAGGCAGCTCTCTGGCCAGGTGGGGTTTAGTGCAGCAGCTCACTAAAAAGGGCATTGAAAGAATTGATATGGGGGATGAATGTCCATTGTCTCTCGAATTGAAATGCTGGTTTAGTATGTTATTGGTGATGAGTTTCATGTAAAAGAAAATGACTGAAGATGAATTTAGATACATTATTATTTATCATCACTCATTACGTCCAACTGCTCGCACAACCACCATACACTGGAGAGGCGGAGCTAAAACAAACACCAAAAACACACACCTCTCCTAGCACAGACACTGTGTGAAATCGATCACTTACATGACAACTCACGGCAAACAAAAAACACCAGCCATGCCGCCATCTCCTCATCCCATTGTCCTCTCACCATCCACTCCATCTGAACTTCTCCAATACATCATCTCTCACCACAGATACCCAACAACAATCCTCATCGGATGGCCCAAGCAGACCTTCATCGAAGGGCTCGTCGAGGACGTTGCACTACAACTCTCCTTGCAGCAAGATCCATCATCACCAAACATCCCAGAAGAAGCAACAGCTGCAAACATCAAAGGAGATAAATCACAAACAAAGCCTCCAGACAACTCATCCTCCAGCCTCCACCCCCTCCAACGCAAGACTCTCCTTCAAACCGCCATCTCTCGCCACATCCGCCTCTTATTCATCCCCAGCACCACCCACCTCCGCGCATATCTCGGCACCTTTTCCGCCTCAGAATCCAGAATCCCGCCCCCAACGCTATCAGGCTTGGACGATTCCGACCCAAGATGCAGAACAGAGACTCATCTACTGCTCGTCTACGGATTTCTAGAGCTTCACCGTGATGGCACCGAATGGTCTGCCCAGGGCATCGGCACCACGGCTGCGTATCTCGTCGAGGCGGCGGCGAGGAATTCATTTAGGGCTGCTGTCGCTGAACCTAGGGGGGCAAGGGGCCATCAACTCTTGGATGATTTTCTGGATGAAAAGGTGCCTATCCTGAGTGGCACGGCCGTCAAGGATGATGGGAGCTGGAGTGGACGGACGGTTCCTGTCAGGGCAGTGCTCAGCCGCTGGTTCGAATTTGAACAAGATGGGAAATGAAACTTCAACATGATTATAGACATTTTCTTTGAAGCTCAAAAGTAAAAGGTAATTGAAATAACGCTCCTTCCCCATTCAAATCCATAGTCATCATCATTCATTCCACATTGAAACAAGATTCCATGACAAGCCTCCCAATCTCAACGCCAATCCGTGGTATCTCCGTTATTATATACGCCCGTGAACCTTTTAATGCCATTGCCACATTCCGACATACATAGCCCAGCAAACCCAGTAAACCAAATGTAGACCTTCTCCGACGCAGCGGTTTAGCTGATTGTCTGCTCCATCTCGGTAATGTACAGTTTGATGTGAGCCTCCATTTTGAGATACTCATCATACGCCGAATGAACTTCGTTCTCAATATTTTCTTTCAGATCAGCCATCTGTCTGCCGTTAGTATCATACCGAATGCCAACGCCAATAGGTGTTGTGTGCATACCTTCTTCTCCGTCTGCTCTATCCTCACTCGTCGGATTTCCATCTCCTTGCCCTTGTCCGTGAGCTCCTCCGTCAGCCTCTTGTGCGTTGCCCGCAGCTCGTGCATCTTATCATTGGCATCTTGCGCCTTTTGGTTGCTCTGTTCTCGCAGCTTCTCCGTCCGCTCCGTCCATTTGGCCAGCTGTCGCTTGAGCATCTGCTCTGCTCTCTCCACCTCGCGAGCATTGTTTCCTCTTTCCGATAGTGCCTCGCGCTGCTTGGTGTTCTTGGCCATCTCTTCGTCCTCTCTCGCCATCTCCATCGCAATGTCCTCCAAGACTTTGATGCAGGATGCCACATCTGCTCCTACGACATCAAACGAGTCTGCTGATGTTTGAAGTGCTCGAGCACGTCGATCCAGCGCATCGATGCGCGTTTTGTCGTTGTTTAAAATGTCTCGGAGCTCCGTCAGATTCTGTTGGAGAGCCAGCGGGCTCTGAAGCACATACGGCCGCAGTTTGGCGCTCTCTTGCTTCAGCGTAATTTTCTCTTGTGTCCTTTGTTCCAGCAAAGTTGTCAAGTCCCCTTTCTTCTGTTTTGCCTCTTCCAATCGTGCCGCAACCTTTTCTTGGTTTCGTCGGAGCTCTAGCAGGCGCCTTTTCAGCTCCTCGTTTCGCATCGTCTTCTCCCGCACCTGCGCCTCCATGGCCTGCCGGTTGTTCTTCATGTCCTCCAGCCGAGTCTCGTTGTCCTGGTTCTGTTGGTACAGAGTCTCTATCCTCGTCTTTGTCGATTCAGCTTTGTTATAGTGCTCGTCAATGACGCTCGTCTGGGATTCTCGAAACCGGACAAAGTTGATCAGGTAGCTGAAGATCTTGACCAGGCGTTCATATGTCGGCTTATACAGGTCGTTGAAGCTAAAGTCATGGATGCCACATTCTATGAGCAGCCGTCTCAGCGACACATAGAAGCCCATCAGGTTGCGCGTATCCGGCGAAATGACATCGGCAAACTCGCCGCAAACATCCTCCGCTGCGGCGCGCATCGCCGGCTCGACCGTCTCGCGTGTCGCATTGAGAAGCAGTTCGGCGAACCACTCAAAGATTTGCTGGACATGGGTGGGATTGGGCTTCTGCAGATCGGCAATGGTGAAGTTGATGCCAATATCGGTGATGCATCCCACAATCTCGCGGTCCGGCAGCCGCATAAACGCGTCGGCCTCTTCCTCCTTTTTCCTCGACCGCGATTGTTGCTGCGAGGCCGGGATGATGCTCATTCGGGGATTGTATGCCATTTCGCGCCGTGGATTTGCTGGTCGTGGAAACGCAATGCCGATGCGAAAACGGTTCCTTATCGTGGGGTATTGATGGCATGTAAATAATGCGAAACAAGGTTGCTGCAGAAACTCTATGACTAATCACGTGATGCTCTTACCCTACAACAAAACGGAATATTGAGTTTATCAACAGGTTACAGCAACAAAAGTCTGTCCTATAAGAATACATGTGATGTATGTGAAAATCATTATTTCGGGGTGTTAATTTCACCTTGCATCATATCAAAACCATGCGTTTTGGATGTGGCAAGGCAGACTACCGTGGACCCATACGTGAATATAAGCTTCAAGATGATTTCACTTACATCAGAATATCATTTCTCACAAGGGTGAATTATTGTGACAGATATGAACTGAACAAACAAGCACTAGATACTCACTTGAAAGAGCAATACAAACAAAAATACATTCCCTACAACTAGCTGCACGCATCCTCACCGCCAGGATGCGGATAAGTGCACTTACATGCGTGCTGCCGCTATGACTCAACTAAATGTAGGTATCCCCGAGAAGCAAGAGACTCATTCTGACTTTTTCAATGAAATGATAAGTAATCGACCAAAGTGAATGACGATACCGTGGAAAAGCGGTGTGAAAGCTCCCGTAAACACTGATACCTGCATCAACATACACGTCAACATGAGTGGTGCCTAAGAGCTTTCCATTATTTAAAGACATACCTTTCCCTCCCCCTTCCTCTTTCTAAATCTTGCTTTATCCATCTCCCCTTTACACTACTCGCCATGATCCTCCCTGCTTCTCTCTGAACAACCCTTACTCTCTCGGTGTTAAACAGCATATTACACATTACACACGCTGGGAGATGGATCCTGAGAGAGTGACTCAGGGGGCTTGTCCAGACGGCACCACACCTACATATCCCGTCTCAAATGGAAGCAGGCAAGTATCAAAAGGTGATTTATACTCATATGAAGATTCGCCTCTGAACAGGCAAATCTCACAACTGTACAACAACTTATCCTCTTATTGAGTCTACATACTCTTACCGACCAAGCACGACTCCAGGTTTGTCCCATTCCCAAAGCTGTGTCAAACGCATCTCTGCTAGACTAGTAGTTGTCTCCGAAAAGTACATTCTTTGCAAGTGTGGGAGCCGAACTAACTGTGAGAAGATCAGGAAGTCCAGTCTCGAAGACGTTAAAATACTCCGACAATACACCACCCAGAACGGAGCTGACAATGTGCGTTTTCCTTGCTATATATCTGCCAGGACCTTGCTAATTGCTTGCAGCCCCAACACCCGAACACGCCGGTTGCATTCATCGGTGACACTAATCGATTTGGCCCCATCGTCGTTATATCCACTGGCGATTTCACCATCTGAGCCAACCGCTGAGCTCACGGAAACTTGTATGATTGGGCCCGAGGAGCTCTGTACTCTTACCAAGCCACGCAACATTCATCCCCTCCTTGAAGTCGTGTCAAAATGCATCCCTGCTGAAACACGTACACGTACTTACTCACGGTACAAAACAATCCCAACCAACTCATTGCCTGTGTATAGCATGCTGGTGAGCCACCCATTCGCCAAGCCTGACTTGGACGCCGCCGCTGACCACAAGCAGTACATGTACCATTCTTTGAATCCGATGGTAAGCGTCACTGCCAACCCGAGCAAGATGCTGGCTGCTCTTGCCAGGGAGGTGGCGAACATTTCAACCTTTACCAAAGCCGTGATGCTGTTCTGCGACAAGAGAGGTATCAAGTTTGAAGCCAATTCGAACAGCGCCCGCGCCGCCACCCAAAGCAAGTCCACCATCGTAATATCATCTACGGTCATCAGCCAAAAGACATGCGCAGCGCAGGCCTTTCGGATGCCCGTCAACATATACTACTTCGGCCGATCGAGTGCCGCCTCTCTGTGTTTTCACATGCCAATAGTACCACCCGGCTCGTTTTCGACGAGTATCACAACGTCAAAGACGAACAAACCTCACAATTCAGGAAACGACTTGACGATATACACCAGCTTTCAAGTTCTCAACCTCACCAAAACTCAATGGTGCTTTGCCAGCGCCACGCCGAGATCAACCAGTTTACCAACATCCAGTCTGGTTATGGCGTTCTATTCAGCCCGCAGCGCGCGGCCGACCAGGTGATTTCGGCACTGGGCACGTTCAACAGCCGGTTCTTGAAGATCCGGTCACAAAAGAGTAATGGAGGAAACATTCTACCACCAACACATCACTTTGCCTTCAATCTGGCCCAGTTTCTCCAGCCGATGAGATAGCCTGAGCTCATGGTGGCTCAACAGATGATAACGACCTCTTCAAATTGAAGACACACATGCACGAGAACAGCAATCCTGATCAGCGCTTACATCAAAGGACGAGTACTTTCAGTCGCTACAAAACGCCCGAAGGAGCAAAGCTGTCTTTGTTTGCTTCGAGAGATGCAAGTGCCCAAGAAAGGTTTCGAAAGAAGGTTTTGAAGGCATACGATGCAGTGGATGAGGATGTGCAGTGGTGTGTAATCTCTGGAAAATATGTGGCGCAGTTGGTGTTTATACCCGGCAACATTTTCGACCATGACTGAGGAAGAATTCGGATCTTCAATACCAGACGTACATGCACATCAACCAGTGCCACCAATCCACACCCGATCACAGTACAAAGTCCTGGCGCATCGCGTACTTTGCAACACCACACAAAGACTATAATATCGCCCAGAACCTCCGCGGCCGACCTCGCCTTCCCAACAACGAGAAGATGACTGTGCCGTTGGGACTCAGGGTTGAAGACGTTCAAGATGAACTTCAGCAGCTGTAGCAGAGTTTGTAGAGGATCAGCAAGGGCTTCATCTATGGCGAGCGTACCTATAAAAGGTCGCTCCAACGTTAGCCCTCTAGGCATAACTTAGCTCTTCAATCATATATTCAACGGTCGGCATCAACAAGCTTCTCTCGTTTCCCCTTCGTCTCACAGGTTATGAGCCCTCATGCTCCAAGTCTTTGATCTCGCTGCTGCTGCTTCCACAAACAAACTACTTACTCCACGAATCCCTCATCAACCGACGAGATGGCCAAATTTACTCACGATGTTACCGCAAACATCCCGCCGTTGCCCCTCAAGGTAGCCCTCGTTAAAGAATACCTACCCAATTCAAGAGCACAGCCGCACTGCTGGCAATGCAAAGCAGCATTCGCTGTACACGAACGGAGTCGCCGCGGTAAAGGCATACCACAAGCAAGCAGTTAACATGACTCTGGCCAAACAGACCGAATGCATCGACCACATTGACAAGGGTTGGTTCTTCGTCGCCCAGAGCGCCGCGACTAAGCCATCCAACCACCGCACGCACAGAAACTGTTGAGAGAAGGTGCACTGGTTGAAGTCACAGGACTTATACATATGGGAACCCTCTGTTGCCGCCACCAAGGCTTAGTTATTTTAGCTTCTTCATCATCATTCAATGCAATCTTCGGCAACGCCTTCATCTGCTTCCATCACTGAATAATAGGTTATGAACCCTCGTGCTTTTTAATCTCATCAACCTTTGGAACAGATCCTGATATATCGCTGCGTTGACTGAATGGGTTCTTCGATGTGACAATAATTCGGCTGTTATGTTGGAACAGAACGATCGAGTTACATTTAAATCACTGCATATCGGTCCTCACTTCCATTTCGTCCGGCAACATCACGGCCACTCGTTTAACGTTCTTCATGTTGCTGGGATAGATAATACCCTCACACCTGGCCCAACTGGGTGCTGCTCAACGTCGTCTAATAGAAACAACGTTTTGCCATACTCTTGGGCTGAACGGATTCTCCTCAACGCTCTGTACCCAGGGAAGCTCAGCCCTCTAGTAGTAACTTAGTTCTATCATCAATCAATCGACAGTTGGTCGGCAACAGCCTCTCGCGTTTCCTTTCAATTCAACAGATAGGAAGGCTCTTTACGAATACGTTAGAGGGCGAAATCGAATTTCTTACCAGACGTATATGTACACATCAATCAGTTTCACTACAAGCATTATCTCTTCTAACTTGCAGCTGTGACACACTTTTGGTTCTTGCGGGTGATGTTTGGTCCCAAGATCTGCTCTAGACAGACGACTTACAAGAGCATGGATGGAGTGTTGTGATGAGAGATTTATAAGACAGATTAGCCGCATGCTTATTCATTGAAAGCTCTTTGCCCGCTTGGCTAAGCGGTATAGCGTGTCACTAGTAAATACTTGACATGACAAGGTGATCAGTTCGACTCTGATAGTGGGCATTTTCTTTTGGTTTTTTTTTTTGACAATTTATTTTTGATCAATGTTTATATTCTTCTATTTGCGTTTCTCATTTTTGTGAAATGTTTGTCTTGTTGCCATAAAGCACCAAGCCATGAAATCCACGCCCAACTCTGCGACCCTTTTGCCACGGCCTGGCTCTTGACCTTCTCCAGCTTTTGCTGGTCAATGGCCGCTGATATCGATTCGGATAATCTCCCGGGCAGCCTTTGATGAATGAGAAGCCTTTCAGAAGGCTTCAGTTCCATGCCCTTCGAAATCAAGAGACAGTACATCTGGACTAGAAAGTCCAGGTGAGCAGTATCATTCGTGGTCTCGCTATTGCTGCAGCCCTCCAACAGACTGTTTGTTAGTGAAAGCATCCGAAGTGCTCCAATTGGGACCTGACAGACTCGCGCCGGCGCCGAGGAAATATTTGGTAATTTGAATGATTGCTGAACAAGGTGGAAGAGGCGATCCTGCTATTGCGACGAGGAGGTGGTGCCATACGGGGAGCGAATCTTTCTATTGTGCGTTGGCGTCTGCACCGACGGCGAGTAGAAGCTCGACCATGTCTTGCCTGTGCTCTATCATTTGAGCGGTTTTGAGCGAGTTCTCTTCGTCCATCAGTTTCTTTACGAGGGCCATGATGCAGGACCTCCATGCGTCTTGTTTCAGCAGCTCTGCGTGGCATGAATCCCTCTCTTCAAGCAGGGCACGAATCATGGGGGTTAAATCTGGCTCCTCGATAGTATAGCCAAGCAAGTGAGCAATGGCACAGTGAAGCAGGGGCTGCTGAGCCTCGAGTGGTTGATACTCGCGGCGTAGCTGGTCCCGGACATACATACGCAGGCCATTCTGAATCGCGAACTCGAGAAACGCCTGGCACGGAGCATGGCCGGTGCCATCGTCGGATGGTGTATAGCAGTCATGGTACCACGGGATCGGTTTGTCAGTAGTTGTGGCGTAGAGTTTGAGCGTGCGATGGAGATCGTCGAGCAGATCGACCTGAGGCTCTCCTGATTCTAGCTCTGCCTGGTAGGCATAATGCATTGCATCGCCCAGCATCCTTGATAGCAAACCTCCCTCGGACACGTCGACTTCCTCCCACGGGATGGACTTTATGAGGGGCGCGAAGCTCTTGAAGACGAGCGTGTTGGGGCCGCCGTGATCCCCTGCTTTTTCTGCGAGAAAGTCGCCCATCTCCTTTGTCCGTAGAAAGTCTCGCACAGTCCGATGCAGGAAATCGACGCGGTGGCCCATGTACGGACCCTCGTTGCTGTTTCGATAGATTTCCAAGAGGCCCTTGCATCGTCCGTTGAAACGGGGGGGGGGGGGGGGGGGGGGTTGGGGGGTTTTGATGGGCAGCTCATATTAAGTAAAACATGTATTTTTTCTTT